CAAAACAAACTGCGTCTGTGCATTTGGCTTGGTGTATTTGAGAGGAAAAATAAGTAAAAACCTGGTCTCATTGTCTCGGAATATCATTGATTAGATATTTCTGCGTTTAAGACAGAAAAAAAAGGTGAAATACACTATACGAAAATTTGGGTTCTCTCTGGTTGCAAAGTAAGCAAACGTGTTGAAAATGTTGGGATATAAATTGGTGTAAACGTGCTGATTTTAATGTTCTTGTGGCTTTCATGTGCACATGTGATATAAACGTGACATTGTGCTCTTTGTGTCCTTCACCTTTGCAGATACTGCAAATTTTTTAACTACGACATGAATCTGCACAAAAGCAGGCAAATAAAGTGCAATACTAACCTTTTCATTCCCATGTTTGGAAACGTTTTCGCAAGGGATGTAAATGTAAATATTTGCTGATAACTTGCTCTAAATTGATCTAAGAGCAAGAACTGATTTGCTAGAAATTAACAAGGATATGTAATAGAAGGCAAAATAATAAAATGCAAAACTTTTACAGGGTGTATTTGTTTCTTCCTACATTTGATGTGATTACTTACTATTTGTTTCTTCCTACATTTGATGTGATTACTTACTATTTGTTTCTTCCTACATTTGATGTGATTACTTACTATTTGTTTCTTCCTACATTTGATGTGATTACTTACTATTTGTTTCTTCCTACATTTGATGTGATTACTTACTATTTGTTTCTTCCTACATTTGATGTGATTACTTACTATTTGTTTCTTCCTACATTTGATGTGATTACTTACTATTTGTTTCTTCCTACATTTGATGTGATTACTTAAGGGAAGCCCGAACAACGTTTCTGTGACCAAGGAATGTTGACTGCTGAAATATGACTCTAAGAAAAGTCGACCTTTTCGCTTTTAACCATCATAGTCGCTCCTTGATGAGGTAACGTTATTGCGTTAGTAAACGGAACAATTTAATCCGACCGGATTTAAGTACTTTGTTCTTCTCTCTTTTTTGACCCCAATCTAAGCTTTGTTTGATTCAAACATTCTCAGTCTATTAAACTCTTTCAGCTTTCTTTTGCAAGCCTAATGGTCCTAACCATCCACTGATCTTCGAATCCTTCTCTGTTTCCGGCGTGCATGCTTTCGAAGACTGTTACAACATGAAAAAAAAAACCCTCTACCCTCTACTGCAAACTGATTGTTAAACAACAGCGCGAAATACGGTGACAACTTTTTGACTGTAGATCTTCCCATTTGTAAATCCCTATATACGAGACTTTTCTCACCCCCAAGACCTCGAAAATTGTGCAACCCCATTCTAGTAACTCCATGAAAGAATACAACCCCAATATGGTCAATCAAGTCGTGAAAATGCAACTAGGAAGAACTTACCCCACCCCCACGCCCCCTCACGGGCATGCACGGGGTCCTGTCAAGCACATTGTCCGCACAATGATGTACTTAAGATTTTAAAAGGTTCGTTTATCTCCTCGTTGTTTAGTCGCCACTTTACCAAGCCTGTGGCAAAACCGCACTATCACAGAGATGAACTGTTTCAATATCGGAACAAAAATTAATTTAGGAGTTCCGGTCAATTATTTTTCTCTCGAAAGGCTTTAACGATAACAGCCTCAATTCCTCACGTAAAACGTAGAAAATGCTAATCAGACAATTTTATTTTGACAAATTTTCAGTTTCAAATTATTTGAATTTTTTCGTTTCTGTTTTTTTCTTTCTTCCTTTAGGGAGGTATTGAGAGGCATTCCACAATAATATATTTCCTGCTACGTCCCACCGGGCGGACATTGCGAAAGATCAGACTGAAAAATGGAAACTCAGATGCTAACAGTAAAGACAAAAGCGTCAGCATACCCGCCTAAATGACTCATGATTATAGAGGAAAAGTTTAACTTAGTACGCGCGCACTCAGTGGCTAATAGGTGCGTTTTAATTGAGACGTCATGCTTTCTTTATCAAATTTTGTCGCACCATATTTGAGTCGTGAAAGAACAAACAAAGAAACAACAAGAAAAAATAAAAAAAATAAAAAACAAAAAACAAATGACTAGGATTAAAATTGAACGTCTTTATTTACATCACTATTTTGCAATAGCATCACATGTCGACACTCCTATCCTAGAATTATAGAGGAAGTCTGTCTCCATGGACCAAGATAAACGACTCAGCCCGCCACGAAGGACTCGAAATCCTAATGACGGAAGATTGGAGTTGCTCACGATCCACTTTCTAATGCTTAATAGATTCTTCAGTGCAGTGATAGCCGTGATTACCCCTTTACCGGCCTTTTACTCACACGATCTTATAAGAAATTCGCTTTACTGGCTGCCATTCGATTATTCTGGTGTTATTTTGGGGAAGTTTATATTGGATCCTGCAATAAATAATTCCCTTACTGATATTTCTCGTTATCCTTAACACTTGTCTGCTTGATATTGTGTTGATGATTTAAGAAGAAATTCTGCCATAAAGCGACTTGAAGGTGGCAGCAATCCGTTCACGTAATGGATCGGAAATTCAACGACTTCATTCTGGCAGCAATTCAACCCGCAAAGGCAATCAGACCGAAAGGTTCAATCCAAAAAAACACAACAATCAAGATTTATCGAAGATTACTTAAACTCTCTTAAATTCTCTCAAAATTAAAGAAGTTGGTCGATAAAAAACGAAAACAAAGTGTTTCTAAGCATTTTAAACAAAAGTATTGACTTTGTATTTTAGAGATTTTAAATTGAGAGGGAAACGAATAAAAACCTTATCTCAGTGTCTTGGACTTTCAATGAACTTAGTAGCTTAAGGATCAGTCGCCATCTGTTTTGAAGAGTCGGACCATACAACGATTTGAGCAAAATGTATGACGAATTTTCCAAGTTCGGTATTTGCTATTTGTGCTACTTCGTGACTTTGAGGGAGAAACTTTTAGAGTTTTTCATCATTCATTTTGATCAATTTGCAGTTTCATCAGATGTTAGAACAGTGCACAGACAAGTAAGGGTCAAAGTACGTACATTTCCTTGCCATACCGTGACCGAAATCAAATTTTAATCCTTCTTTATTCAGGCTTTCACTGATAATTCGTAAGAGATTACAATTAGCGTTTTCCGTTCGTATCTATCCTAGTTTGGGACACGTGTGTTTTTTCTTTTGTTGTATTTCGTTTTGTTTTGGTTTTAGTTTATTTGTATTAACAAAATATGCAAAATCAAGGACATGTGAAGTTGTTAAGGTCCTCAACTTACACCTCCATACCTTTACAGTCTTAAATGCTTGTCAATCGTACGCAAGAAGCTTCACTGGCAAATATGGAAATGAATAACCATTGTAGGCTTGGAAATCCTCGAGTGTAGTAGGTTTCCGACCTACTGGGTTACCATGGTACCACTATCGTCTAGACATTGACGTAAAAGCATCAATAATGAACAACAGTCTTTATTTCTTCACACGTTAAAACTCACATATCCCAAAGTAACATATTTTGATATAATCTTAAATCGCTTTTTTGATAGTTCTAAGATAGCGACGCTTTAAAAATCATCAGGACACGTAAAAACTGTAGAAATAAGTAAAAACATTCAGGAACTCCAGCTAGTAGCTTAGAATGTTCCATAGGTATAAATCCTTCTGAATTAACTTCGATGTGATGAAAAGATCCTTTTCAAATCGCATTTGGTCAACTATATATGGTTCAGTGTATAATTTGGTCATTTCTTCTAATCTGAATATTCTAAGCATTTTAAAATCTAGAATCAAAAGGCGTTGAAAATGATACACGTTTTGTTTCTTGTCGTGCAAATTACTTCTTCAAAACGGCATCGATTGGTCTGAATATATTTCTTTGTCAGATATTAAAAAACTGAATTTACAGATATTTTGGTTTAAGTTCGACAGCAAGCGAACTAATTTTTTTTTAATTAGAGCGTTTTCAAATCAACAATGAATAGTACGAAAAAAGAATTAACATCACCATGCATGCAGATTACTGCACTTGATGCCTGGTCGCGAGGGAAACAGTTAACGATGGTGTTGCCCCGTTGGAATTCATTCAGATTCAAAAAAGGCCACTCAATCATTAATCTGCCAATCATAATTGTAATAAAAGCGAAGTTGACCGATCAGAGGACGCAGAAATCACTATTTCCATGAACACTTTGCCGTCAGAAAGTTTTAAAAAAAATCCACCGGTCTAATTTTCATTTCAGTTGATGTGGGGGCGCTGCCCTTGGGATTGTTTGGATCTAATTTTTTCCAATGGATATCGGCCCAGGTTTCCTTTCCACAATGCGGATAAATTCCGTTGAGATTCGACGAAACAGCACAATCACTACTGCTGCCATACCACCAGCCTCCACCTCTTTTTAGAGTACAATTAGCAGGATCTCTATCCCAGGTACCAAAAATGAGATCTTTGTGAGGATTGAGGGAATCAGAGGAAACAGTTGCATCTGTTAAAAAAAAAAAAGAAAATTCCATAATATTAGGATTAAGATAACACTTTTGACACCTCAAACTCGATAGCTACTAATCGACGAAGTAGGGCAGGTATCGAAATACAAAAATATCGGGCAAAATGGTAAATACTCAAATTTTATGATTTTGTTAAAGCCAAGATAAATGAATTTTCTATCTCAAGCAGCTTCGAAAGCAAACTGTCCACGGAGGAGCGCGGACTCAACTAGGTATGGGCAGAATTAACAGCAAAACACTCGCTAGAACGAACCATTATTTGCAGGTCACGTGGGGTTGGGGGAAGGGATTGAATTAAAAATCAGTTTTTCATAGGATTCAAGATGTCACTAACTTGTTAATTCGCTAAATGTGCAAAATTTGAAGTGGACAAAGATCAGTTTAAGCAACACCCCTGAAGAAATAAATTTTAAATCGATTTTAGCAAAACAGCTTTTAAGCTATGGTGTGAATGGGACAGAAGACGTGGATAGGGGAAGTAACACATAAAAATCGAACGATGAATGTTTAAAGAGACGGGTTACTTACCTGTAATACTGCCAATGTACAACCGGTAGTCAGCCGTCCCTTTTCCAATCCCAAACCATTCATACTCAGCTTGAACAGTTTGGCGCGTAGTTACCCCAGATCTATTCGAAGCATGTTCTTTGTTATGTTTTGTGTCAGACGGTTTATCTTGTCCAGTCCGAGCCAAAATTCACCGACCAAGTTACCGAAGCCATGTTTGTAGTCATTCCAGGTGCGATTAAAATCAACAGAGCCATCCATTCTCTTCTGGAAGACTGTCCATCCCCCACCAGAAGTAGTTTGGTCACAATACACATTAAAAGCGCCTGAGTCATCTGGGTCGATCGTGTAAATGCCGCTGATCCTTTGACCGGAATGGTAGAGCTCAACACAGTTCTTAGCTGTTGATGAAATACAACGTAATAACAGTTGATATACTCATGAAAAATTACAATAAAAATTGAAATGAATAAATGTTAATCAAGGTATTAACACATATGAACGAAGAGGAATCGTGCTTACGTTTCGACAATGTTTTGTTCTCCGTGAGAATTTTAACCTCAAATCGAACTTGGGTGACTTCCTTCATTATTTCTTCCAAACAGACTGCAGTGTTCTTTTGGCAATCTATTGGGAGTGCTCGCGTTGATGGTAGAATTTGATAAGTCACAAAAAGTGCCAGGAAAAGCAGATCAGAACCTAAAGGAAATAAATTTTATTATATGGCGTAAATTTACTGCTCAGGGTAGATCCAGGATTAGTAAGGGTGGTCGGATTGATATCCGCTGAAGAAATGAAGTTCTTGGAGTGGTAAACAGGTAGCATGCTCCCCTAGAATTTTTTTTTAGGTCGTCCGAAAGGTCATTTTGTAGAAAAAAACGCTTTGTTAGAACTAAATTATAATGAGTCTTAGAAGAAAATGAAATACCCCACCTGGTAAAGACAACAGACATGGCAACGTTGCGGCTTTACTTAAGGATCAAGGCTATCAAGTACAGTGTAGATATGTCGTCTGGTAACTTTCAGCATCAAAGAAACGAATTTCGAAGGATAAATTTTCGAAATCAATAGACTACCTTGGCTTGTACGTTTTGTTTACCCACTTTATCAGAACTTTTAATTAGGTCTGAAGGGAATTCTCAGCCCTATCTTTTGTGAATCATAGGCACATACGCACGTAAATAAGAAGAAATTTAATTGAAGTACTATTACATGACCTGACATACTAGGTAAAGATGTCTCTTGAAGTCAAACCTTGGTGCTTCATTACCTACATCCCCGCCGAAAAAAAAAAGGCCAATTTTTTTCACATCAAGTTCAGTAGCAAAGACGAAAATGCCATTTAGTGCGTATTTTGCATTCTCGCATACTGTTAAGGAATTTCAAAATCCAGATCAACTTGAGAGACAGCATAAGTGCATTACCCCTTTGTGTTCGCCTATACTGCAAACATAAATTGGTTAATTATAATAGAGGCTTCAACATTAATTCGATGACACCTATTCTCACAAGCTCATGCACCAAATCAGTCAAAGGCTTGAGTGATTTGAATGTGCAAATAGGAGATTACAGACCATGCTTTAGTGAAATACTTAGACCTTTGACACTGAGAACCTACGCTATCTCTATTTTGCTGTATTACTGGAACAAGCAAGCATTAGGAGACCAAAACAAGATCACTAAATATTTTTCATACAATAGTGGATCATTTAGCCGGGTTAAATGTTACAAATCTCGATTTAGAATTCCCTTTCACGCTTGCTCTCAGAAATATTTTTAGTTTTTTTTTTTTTTTAATTTTATTTATTTATTTATTTTTTTATCATTAGTTCAAACCAACAACGATCTTCAATCAACGATTCCGAATGAACGATCCTTTGACAACTTTTTCAATAACCAACTAGGTACAGAATTACAAGGAAATCTACCATATCTACGAAATCTCATAACCTTGATATGTTGAAGTGTAGCGACTAATGGACCGTGTTTGAAAAATTAAATGTGCCCGAGAAAATGGGGAAAAACGAAAATTCGGGTTTTCACCTAATTAATTATGCAAAAAAATATATTAAATTGACCAACTTTAGTGTGCTAGTACGGAAGGAGGATGTTTCGTAAGAAATTGTGGGAGTTTTTTCTTCAAAATATAATTTATTTGATTTTCATTTGTGGCATTTTAAGGAGTATTAATTTTAAAATTCACATGATTTTCAACAAAGTGCCGTCAAACGCTTGTTGCAAAAAGCGAAAAATCGAGCAGCTTCAAGCCTTCAAAACGCGTCTTGGTATGTGTGACATCATGTCAAAGTACATGCTGGCACAAAGTTTGGTCCTTAAACTAAAGTAATATAAAAAAAAAATCTGGGTATTTGTAAGTAATAATTTCCTTTCGTTGTTGTTGTATGTGTGACATCATGTCAAAGTACATGCTGGCACAAAGTTTGGTCCTTAAACTAAAGTAATATAAAAAAAAAAAATCTGGGTATTTGTAAGTAATAATTTCCTTTCGTTGTTGTTGTATGTGTGACATTATGTCAAAGTACATGCTGGCACAAAGTTTGGTCCTTAAACTAAAGTAATATAAAAAAAAAAATCTGGGTATTTGTAAGTAATAATTTCCTTTCGTTGTTGTTGACGCTATCAACATCCGTCAAAATGTTTCAACTCTTCAAGTGATCTGTAACATCCCTAGTACAGTCTTTCAATCCGATAAAGTCAACCACGTTTGGATTTTCACAACTTGCACCACAAGCTCCCCCAAGAAGAGAAACAAAACTACAGAATGACATCGTTTTCCTTATTATATGCTCTGTGAAAAACCTGGCGCTTCTTTACCTTTAAGAAAAAGACCGTGATTGCATCATAGAGAATTATCGCCCAGACTGCAACACGGTATAATTGCTACCGTGACATAAGTCCTTTCTATCAAGTTTTATGACAGAAATGTGGCCATTTTCCAAAAAAGATAAGAGCATATAGCTTTAAAAAAAAATAGTTGGGCTGTTATCTTGAGGTGAAAAACTACACAGCAGAAGCTTGCGGTGTTGCATGAATTTGTTTACTCACTTGACTTTTTTCAAGATATCCAAGATATTTCAAACGAAATGTTATCCCTGTTGCAGAAAAAGTAGCCATTCAACTAAGAATAATGTCGATAATAAACACGTAGTCAACAAAAATGTTGAACTATACAGCGGCCCTTATCTATAGTTAGGTGAAGGTGGTGCTGTTGAAATAGTGAGTCAACCATAACAGAGTCTTCTGCAATTCAAATTAACAGAAAATTTCGCATCTACACATCAATTTGCAGCCCTCTTTAGCAATGTCTACGGATTTTTTATTGTATAATTTCATATCATTTCCATATCAAATAATTGTTTAACCATCTTTAACTATCTTGTTTTCTTCGTAGCTCTCAAGTACGATTTCTATAACTGATTTGCATAATGCAAATTCCTGACCTTGGTTATAATGCGTTGCAAACTCTTTTATTTTGCCGGCAAATTTGTTATTTTATATTATTTTCGTATAAGGACCAACCTTTGTGCCAGCATGCAGTTTGACATGATTTCTCACATATCAAGACGCGTTTTGAAGGCTTGAAGTTGCTCGATTTTCCGCTTTTTGCAACAAGCGTTTGAGAGTACTTTCTTAAAAAATCATGTAAATTTTAAAATTAAACCAAAGCTCCTAAAAGTGGCACAAATAAAAATAAATTGAATTACATTTTGAAGTAAAAACACCCCCAATTTCTCACGAAACATCCTCCTTCAGTACTAACATACTAAAGTTGGTCAATTTTACTGTATTTTTTGCATGAATAAGTAGGTAAAAACCCAAATTTTCGTTTTTCCCCATTTTCTCGGAAACATTTGATTTTTCAAACTTTTAAATGTTTTTTTTTAATACATCTCCCTAAGAGCGTTTTTCAGGCAAATTTTCAGAATTTCTATATTTTTAGCCTGGCCAGCGAATCTCGATGATTACAGTCTTAAAGGGTCTACCCCAAAACTCAAAAAGACAAACTGGTTTCTGTTTTGGTTTTTTCCGGGGGGAGATACACCACCCGTACGGTTTTTCTTGGTTTTCTCCAAGGAAATCGCTTTAAAATAGGTAAAATATATGAAGCTCTCACTGCGATGGTATTCAACAAATTACTCTGAGGGTTTGCGAACATATTTTTCCATCCTTACTTAATGTTCGCCACAAGTATCAGTCAATTTGATCGACGACAGAGGCCAAGAAACGACTGTGTTTTTAGACTTTTCGATTCATCCAAATATTAGACAACTTTGAGGTCAAATATCTCCCCTTGTCAGAAAGCTACAACACTAATATCTATTCCCCTTTATAAACAATCATTTCATCTCTGAAAATCATCAAAAAAATCTCAGGTCACTACCGTATTTTCGTATTGGATGCCTTTTAAAATCTGCCACTGTGACAAGTTTCTCTCAACTACACCTGTTATGCAATTCTTGGTCTAAGCGGTCACTTGACCAAATATACCTACATTTTTTAGCTCTTTATACAAGTTGATTGATCAAGAAAGGTAACAAAATGTGAAAAACTTTCGATATTTTTTGTAGGAATGGAAAATTCCACGTTTAGAGAGATGCATATGGGCGAGAAATCGAAGGGAAAATCGTAGCATTTCTTTCTTCATTAGAAGATTAAATCTTGAAATTTTTTTCGATGGTCTCGGGATCCTTTCCGTACTCGTCCTTTACATGATTACCGAGTTTTGATTACTTGTGTTCCTCCACACGTTGATGAAAGTGTCGGCTCACGCAAAAGCCTTTTTTTGACGTTCATATTCTCGATGGAAAAAAAATCCAGTTCGAGTAGACTAAACACACGGTTTAACATTATCCTCAGCAGAGACAGTTTGTACTTTTCGTCAACATGGCTTTGGTGATGCAATAAAAGTCCAGTATCAGTTGTTTTCGCGTAGACCTTCGTTTCTGGTCGGGGACTATTTCCGTTAATCATCATTCCAAGAGAGGTAAGTTTGCTGTTGTTCTCGAGTTCCATTGTAAAACTGAGTGAAGGGTGGATCTCATTCAGCATTGACAAGAAAACAGAGGCCGACCAAGCATCAAAATCTTAGCAGAGAAAGCGTTCGAAGGCAACTGTCTAAATAGGAAATATGCCCTTAACATCACAAAAAACAAAAAAACAAAAAAACATAAAAAGACACCTTTTCCAATTCGACGGAAATTTTTACGAGCAAGTGGATAAGGTTGCCATGAGCTCTCCTCTCGGACTACTAATGGCAAATGCGTTTATGTGCCATATTGAAGAAAAATTGGAAAACCAAAACAAGATGTCTGCTTTCTATTAGCGGTATCTCCAAAAAACCTCAGCAAAATGCCCGATGTTTCATCTGCCTCTGTTTTCTTGTCAACACTGAATGAAATCCACCCTTCACTCAGCTTCACAATGTAACCTGAGAACAACGACAGACTTCCCTTTCTTAGACTGATGATTACCAGAAACAGTCCCCGACTGTCAAGTCATTGAACGGTAGTCAGTAAATGGTGTTTTGACATTAAATTCTGGACTTGAAATAAAACTGGAAAATTACATGAATCATCAAATACATAGAGTAAAAGTACTGAGTGGCGGCTTACGCCACTCGTCATGTGACCAGACATGATCAGACACGAAGGTCTGCGGGAAACCAACTGATACTGGAATTTCACAGCATTACCAAAGCCACGATAAAGCAGCCATACACTCTCATGATACTTGATAATAACATGTCTATTCCTTGTTGAGAACGTCTCATTGTCATGATTTGGGTGTAGCTCTTTGGAGGTATGCAGCACGCATATGCGACCAAAAAGAAACAGGTGGGTGGACCTATTTTCTCTGTCGACTGATTGATGATATATAGAAAGCCTCTCGAGAATTCTTGCACGTTGCAAAATTAAGTTATACATGCAGACCCCATGGTATAAACGTTGTTACATCTGTTTGCCTCTTCAAATTGAAGAGTTCTAGTATTAAATGACATACTTGTTTCACAAAAAGTCCTATATTTGGAAACAAAAATGACCACAGTGTTTGCGGAAGTTTATATGCACTGCAAATTGTTTACCAAACAGCCGGTATTACATACCTATTCGTCGTTGAGGACTTCTCATTGTAACGATTTGGGCGTAACTCTTTGGAGGTATGCAACACGCATATGCGACCACAAAGAAAGTGAGAAACTAAACAGAAAATGTGGCGGCAAGTTTTATAAACTGATAGGACTTTACCCTCATTTGTTTCTTATTACCTGACAGGTAGGTGGACCTATTTTCTCTGCCAATAATCTCTTGTCTCAGCATAATACTTCCTTTCACTACTTGTAATAATCTAATTTAATGAATGACCGTCACGAGATATCTCTGTTCATAACTTATCAAATTCTTCCAACCCTTCTAGAGTAAGATGAGGCTAAGTAGACACCGATAAAGTTCATTATTGTGCATTCGTCCATTTCTTCTTAAAATTTTCCGCCAGCGATCGTTTCGAGAAGAATATCCTTCCATTCAAGCTAGGAAGTGCAGAGTGTTCTTCCATATGCGAATAACGCATGTATCTTCCGCTAAATAACTTAAAATTGATTTATTTGCGTTTGTGCTCCTCTCTAATTACCATAACGAACTAGATTACTTCTTAATACATTCCTTCTGATACGATACTGCTGCAAGCTACCAAGATATATTTGTTTTCACAGCCTTGTTGAACCCAAAAAATATCAGGTATATGTATTATTCGCATAATTAGCATCATGTTTTTTTCAGAGCTGAGGCTGACTTCAAATGCTACCTTTAAATTTGAATGCATAGGTTTTTTATTTCTATTATTTTATCGGACCATAAAATGTCGATGTCTTCTTTTTCTGGAAGTTTGGACATGTTCATTATTAGCTGTTGTTTAATCAAACGCAGTCTTCAGACTTTGGAAAGCGAAAATAACTATACATTTACTCAGCGGTGAAGTGGCTGAGGAGAAAAACAAATAAACTATCTAAAATCAAAACAAAAAAAGCAAAAAAATCCTCTGTTTTCAAGCCTTGTGTAATTAAACTTCTTATGACCAAACGCAAAATTCATGGTACTTTTATTGAGATCCATTATTCAATGACATTAAAGAACGGTGAAGATTTCAGCTGACCGTTCAAAAGGTCTTCTGGACTGTGATCAAACGCATAAAAAAATGCACCCAAAGACTATTTGAACTTTTTTTGTTTTGATCGCAAATAGTTTTCGCGTGAGTATTTCCTAATCCAGAAATCCATTTGCAGCGGATACCGGGTAAAAACGAAAAAAAAAGGTGAACCAGCAGTTTTTCTTGGCGCGCATAAAGGTGATAAGCCACTTGAGTTCTTAAGCAAAGGTCTTTATTGTATAAGTCTTTCGTTGAACTAGAAACATCGCGAAAGTAAAGAAAGTAGTTTTACTCGGTGAATAACTTGAAATTATCGTCAGAAAATGCGGGCGGAGCTTTGAACATCACCATAAAGGTTACCTCCGCCCGCGCAATTTTTTTCATTATCTGCAAAATCAACATGATTTTTGGGAAACCTCTAAAACACCACGGTTTGTATTGAAAATTTGGCTAAAAAATTTTAACCGCAAGGTATTTATTCCATTTAAATCCGCATTTTGGACCGCAAAAGTAACCGCGGCGTATTGTGTAATGATTACTACGAGGTGATTTGGATTGAAGTGTTCAATGTAATACTATAATGCAGAAAAATTGCTGACGTGCGTCTGTCTATAACTTTGGTGGCGATAGAAAAATCTGGCATGTTATTAAAATAAATTTGTTATGAATTATTCTGCCAGTTGATAATTAGTTCGTCATTTAGTTAACATAGCTAGTAAATTTGTCTAATCAAGTTCAATTGCGTGAGCGTGCTTCATATTCCTATTGTGCACGCTCATGACGTTAACAAACAAATCCCTCGAGAAAGAAAAAAAATTTCTATCGGGTTGAAAATGTTTTGAATAGTTTGGTAGTATTGATTTGTATAGAAATAAGCGATTACGAATGCCGAACCTGTTAAGAAGAAAGTACCGGACTGACGTGTCGTGCGATTAGTCGGCCCGGCGACAAACGTTTCAGCTGTGTCTGGATTTTTTCTCCTTGCACCGAGCTAAATTCTAAGAGAAAAGAGATTTAATTTTGAGACAAAGTGTGACTAATTTGTTGTTTCGTTTGTCGCATTTAGATTTTTTGCGGCCTTGATTGTTTTGGTTTTGGTAAATTCCCAATCAACAACTGTTTACTTTATTATTAGGTGGAACAAATTTAAAAAACAACAACAAAAACGGAAATTTTTCCTTGCAATGTTGTTATTGACCGATTGGTGACCTTTTTTGGTTCCCAGCGAATTTCTTTCGGTTTTATTTTTGTTGCTTGTTGGATCAAGACCTAAAAGGTTAATGTCGATATAAAAATTGGGCAGTTCTTCGCTGGTTTCTTCCATATTTCAAAGAGAAGGAAAACTGCACTGCAGCTTAACAGGACGGAAACTCTGAAGCCAGGTTAAAAAAAAAAAATGCTCACGTCATCCTATTTACGCACTTGCGTGCGTAAATAAAGATTTTGTTCATAGCGGCTCAACAGGACTTATATAGGTCAAGCATTCGCGCTATGTTATAAATGTTATTTTCGGATTCTGAACTTTAAAAGTTTTTACCACAGTGATTTATACTTTTCTGTTTTTCAGTAACGAATAGTTTTCTGGTTTCAAATTGATATGCTGCAAAATATATTTTGTTAGCGCTTGTATCTTCTTCTGCTAGCGAAAGATTTCTGATATTTTGTTTTGAATTTAAGTCAAGTCCATCATAAAGCCCACCATGAATGAAGGTTAGGGTGTCAGTCATTCTTATTAGGGCCCATTGTACCCGAAATAACTTCTAATGCGTCTTTAAACTTTGTTTAACTACCCGGTATTTGCCACAAAACAGTTTTGTCCGGTTCAAAAAATACACTGATACCCCTGGAAACTATTTGGATCAAGACAAAAATGTTCAGTTAGTTTCATGCATTTTTCACGGGTTTGGCCACCATCCAAAACACCTTCTGAATACATCTCCTTAAACGGCACAAAGCTATTTTGGGTCCTGCACGCCATGAACGGACTGCTGAAACGTTGACCAACCTTTCATGTCACAGTAGGACTTAAGCAAAATACCAGAGATTCTGTCACTGGTTTGAAAAGATTAAAGTTTACATTGATGAAGTAGAAGACTCTTTGTCTGCTTTTTCTTGTCTATTGTTTGGAAGATAAAAGCAGCCTCAGGTTGCCGCTATGTACAAGACTTTGCAAGTTTTAGAGCGGTTCCAGTGGACCTTTCTGCTCGCAAGATTCTGAAGACTGCATTTTATCAAATCCAGCCATAAACGAACAAACCTCTTAAACCATATCAAAACCACCGACAAAGGTAGACATCGATATTTTCGGCGTCAGGCAAAACCGATTATCATTACAAAAATTAAGGAAACATTATGAATTAAGACTGAAGCCAACTTTTAAAGCAAAATTAATCAGGAAGAAGCTGAAGTTTTTTAATGGTATCTCCTTTCTTTGTCATCGTTTGTCAGTGCAAGTTCATGCAATAACCCCCAACACCATGATCAAACTATCATTCGACCTTTTTCAGCTAATTGTGCCAATCCGTGATATATTTAATATTGGATTTTGATAAAAATCTCCAAAAAGGGGACTTTTATTGTTCTGGTAAATCTACTCATCACTATGCTTGGAAGGTCTATACAAACCGGCTTCTTCACAACAACGGCGTTAATTTCATTTTTCTTGAGACAGATGGGAAATAAGTGAGATAACACGGCGACATTACTAACGACGGCTAAAATTAAAAATAATAATAAAAACAAAAAAAAACAAAAAAAAAAAAGAAAAATAACATCGAGAAACTAAAAATGGATAAAGGAGGTACGTATCTGGAGACATTGTTGTGCTGCGTCGGTAAGGGAGTTGATTGTGTAAATTTGTCTCTTTATTATTGTTAGTAATCTTTCACCTTGACATTTGACGTAAGACAAAGATGCTAAGGAATTGCCGATGATTAGTGCTTATTGCACCCGAAATAGTGTGAGATTATTCAGCGTTAATTGATTTCCGGTTGATTTTTTGCGGTAAGTGACAGATGATTGAACAATAGGATCACATTATATATTTAAAATGATAAGGATGACCGGAGCGTGAGACGAGAACGGTGAGAGAGAGAGAGGAGAGAGAGAGAGAGAGAGGGAGATCAAGTTAATTTTATAAATATGTGAAGTTTCGGAACATAGCAGATTCTTTAGTCTAATTCCGACAGTAGCTTATCAGGCGTCTAAAAGATATCCATAAATTTTGTTCGCTGAAACGCATTGAAAATTACTCTTAGGGAACTTTTATCACTTATCTTTTAAGCTTTACGAGTATTTTGGGTAGTTTGATTATTTTTGGGAGTTCAAAAAAAGTGTTTATGGATAGATTAGAATAAGAGAAGAGTGGGCTGTTCTCTCTCTAAGCGTAACCTTGATAAGCCACTCAAATTTGTGGAGTGAATTACTGAATTAAGATTTTGGATGAGCTAGGAGCATGATGAGACAAGGAAAGATAGTGCTAATCCGCTAAACTGATAAACCTAACGGAGCCATTGCATATCGCGTTTGCGGCGTTGAAGAACGTGCTGTGGTTGTACTTGTGGTTTCAGTAAAATGTGCCGGATTTCCGTGCACATTAGATATCGAATATATAATTACTACTGGTTGGTATCTCACTTAGCTTCAGATGTGATACTATTACAACCTACTGAGGTAAACCTTTATTATTCCTTACTGTTGACCCATGAAATATTATGTATATTTTCCACGTTATTCTAATTCTTTTCTTATCGTGCAGCCTTGCGTGCAGATAACAAAACTATGAGAGAACTGCTATTCCTCAGCTCTCATATTAGATTTATTTATTGTATTTAGGATTTTTTGATTCCTTGATGACAAAGAGAGTGATTACCGTGTCAATCAAAATGAGGGAAAGTGAAGATATGGGAAAACTAGTTGTCATAAAAAAGGGATCACGCGAACAAATGTCGCAAGAATAATTTTGACAAACATTAAGTGAAAAAGGTTTCGGATTGTATAGCGTGTGTGCCAATTTTGGGCTATAGATAGAGTACAAAATTATCTGCTTACCATTGACAACTTTGCAACTTTTTGGTGTATTTAGAAGTACACTTTATAATGTAAGAGTCACATGCCTTCAAAACCCCGTCGGGGCAGATAGTGATTAAAAGAATGAAAATCATCCGATTGCAGTGATACCGAGTACGATGAAAATATACAACTTCTCAGATAGGTTTTAAGATAGTACGATCGATCGATCGATCGATTGAAAGACAAAGGGACAGAATGTCTGCAAAATTCACTACCCGATCGATTGGTTTACGCCAGTGCTCAACCTCTGATTATCATAGGTTTTCAAAATAGCCGGCAGTGTGTCTCGAAACAGCTGCAAAGTAGTTTCTCCCAAATCAAACATCTGTCGTGAAAAAAAAAAAAAAAAAAAAAAAAAGATCGCAGCCGAATGAGAGCATCCATTTTTCAAATCATCATATTTCTTCATGACACTGTACATCTTTTGCGTCTGATTCTTAAGGCTATCGAGCCATCGAGTGCCTGTGGATGTATCGAAGGCACTTTTTGAGCAATTGGAACATAAATCCAAAATGTGTCATCCAGACCTCAATGAATGCCGATCCATGTGGTTGTCGTGTGAAATCGGGCTCTCTTGTCGCCCTGATGCCATTTTAATGATGCTTTACGTTTTTCTTCACCTTAGTTTCTCATCGATATCCTATTCTCCTTTCGAGAGATCATAAGACAAATTCATTATAATTTACTTTTTCGAGAGAAGTTGTCAAGAGTGATTGTCAAGGTCACGCACGTAGGCGGCACTGCACCAGCATTAATCACGCAGAGTAGAACTTATCGTGCAGGGATTGAAATGCGCTCTTCTTTATTTGATTACAAAAAAAAAAACAAACAAAACCAAAAACAACCTCTATTGTTGCACTCCCTTATAATGGGGGTTTGCGGTATTTCACTTAACTCCATTGCTGACATGAAACGATGATCAACGTATCAGCTGATCGATCACAGTATTTTACACTAAAATAGGTTTTCTTCAATCTTAAATAGAAATTTTCAAAAGGTCGTTTTTATTGTTGCCAAACGCGCAAAAAAAATGTACCGAAACTATTTGGCCATTTTCCTTTCGGTCCAAATTAGTTTCCAGGGGAAGTCAGAAATTTTTTGAACCAGACAAAAATATTTTGTGACAGACATTAAGTAAACGAAAAAGGAGGAGTCGCTTGTTCTCTCGCCACGCTTGAAAGTGACAAGCCGCTTGAGTTCTTTAGCCAAAAAAAATATTATTGAGTCAGAAACATCGCGAAACTAGGTAAAAATAGTTTAACTCGTGAAATAACTTGAACTTCCTGTTACATGACTTGGGCGAAGCCATTGAATATCATGTTTGTGGCCTTAACTCGCCTGCCATATATCTCAAGCGAACTAATTAAGGATATCCAAGGTCGCGCATTTCGTAAGCTCAAGAAATAAACATAGTTTCAGAAATCCTTCGACATCACTGAGCTTTGATAACCTCAAGATGTTCAAAAGAACATCTGTGAAAATGTGGCCAAACATTTCTGACTGCCGGCCACTTAATCCATTCAACACCGTGCTTGGCTCTGACCATGTGGCCACAGCGTAGTGTTAAATGATGCATGGAATTGAGATATTATTTCTCGTACGATATTGCTGCGAACTGCAAGCTTTCATTCTACGTCGGTGACCCAAATAATATAACGCATGTTATTCTAATTATTCTATTTTTGTTCTCATCGAGCTCTTCTGAATGAAGATAAGACCAGAGAACACTTTATATTATAAGCGACTTGCTGTTCCTCAAATATCATACTAGAAATATCTGTAGTATTCGCAGTACTTTAAAAGATCGATACTATAACACAGAGAATGATAACGGCTTCAATCAAAATGAGAGCAAATGAAGCTATTGTAATAATTTAAATTAAAGTTGTTATAAACACTCGTAATATACTTCACAAAACTAATTCTGAAATTCATCATGGACTGAGATAGAAAGGTCAAGAAGTGTCGTTTACATTTGTAATGATTTTAAAATTTATAGTCACCATAGCTGTATGAGGTAGATAATGATTTGATTGATGGATGACAAAATTGATTGACGAAGGTTAGAGGAAGGCAACTGTTTTGGTTGAAATAATATGTACGTGTGGTCTGCATTCAGGGGTGCTTGATCACTCAGTTTTAACTCATTGAGAGAGGATTTGTCAATGCAAGCTGATTTGCTCAGCAATTTCATTTCTCTTTATGCATCAGATGAGTGGAAACTTTTTTACTGGGGGTCAGTGATGTACCATG